TGTGTTGGAGCCCTGCTTCCCAGAAGAGTGTCTCATATATACAAAGTGCTTAGTGTTCGCTTATTGAATGAGTGAAGGAACAACTTGCTTGTTCTTGTAGTACTTAATCGGACTGCTGTTACTGTTTTTTATTTTTACTGCTGGTGTTTCTTTCAAGAAGTATCTTCTGTTCTTCTAGCTGTTCCAGGCTGGTCTGTTTGTCATTTCAAGTGGAAATTTCCCACCTCAGAATATTCTGGATGGGGATCAGGATTTCACCTATCAGCCAACTAATTTTTGAAAAAGGGCCTAAGTATATTGCATGGGGAGGAGATAGTCTCTTCAACAGATGGTGATGGCAGAACTGAAAAGTGATACGCAAAAGATTGAAACAAGACCTTTACCTCATGCCTTAAACAAAAACCAATTAAACATGGATTAAAGACCTAAATGTGAATCCCAGAATTATAAAGGTCATCCATGAAAAAATAGGGACAAATATGACGGCTCTAATACAGGGAATACACGGACTAGCAAACATTTTGAAAATTACACAAACAAAATAGATGATTGGGACATATTAAAAATTAAAAACTTATGTGCATCAAAATACTTCACTAAAAGAGTAAAAAGGGAACCCACAGATTGGGAAAAAGTCTTTTGCAACAACGCATCAGACAAGGGACTAATTTCTAAAATGTATAGGAAGCTATAACACCTCTACAAGAAAAAGACAAATAACCCAGTTGAAAAATGGGCACAGGACATGAGTGCCCACTTCACCAAAGAGGAGATTCAGGCAGCCAACAAGGATATGAAGAAATGTTCATGAGAGCTCTGGTAGCGTAGTGGTTACGAATTGGGTTGCGACCCGCAAGGTCAGCAGTTCGAAACTACCAGCGGTTCCGCGGGAGAAAGATGAGGCGATCTGCTCCCGTAAAGATTTACAGCCTCGGAAACCCTGTACAGGGTCGCTATGAGTTGGAACCGACTCCATGGCACATAACAGCAACAACAACAACAACTAGCCATTAGAGAGATGCAAATCAAAACAACAATGAGATATCATCTCACACCAGCAATTAACAGTGAAGATCTAAAAAGTAGAGGACAATACATGCTGACAGGGATGTGGAGAGAGTGGGACGCTCCTGCATTGCTGGTGGGATTGCAAAATGGTCCAACCTCTCTGGAAAGCAATATGGCGCTTCCTCAGAAAGTTGGAAATAGAAATGCCTTATGATCCAGCAATTCCTCTATTTGGTATTTATCCACAAGAAATACGAGCCATAACACGAGAAGATATATGCACACCAATGTTCATAGCAGCACTATTTACAATAGCAAAAAGATGGAGACAGCCTAAGTGCCCATCAACTGAAGAATGGATAAACAAACTGTGGTACATACACACAATGGAATATTATGCTACCTTGAAGAATAACAGGCTGCAAGCCACCGCATAACATGGATGAACCTTAAGGACATTATGCTGACTGAAATAAGTCAGTCACAAAAGGAGAAATACTGCATAGGACCATTATTGTAAAAGATTAAGAAAAAGTACCTATACTAAAAGGGAAAAAAAAAATCTTTGCTGGTTACCGGGATGTATGGGTTAGGATGAGGGGAGGGAGGGGAAGGTGGAGCACATGGTAGGGAATAGACACAGGATAGTTTGGGTGCTGGGGGGCGCACAATATACCAGAAGGGGGAGGAGAATGGAAGAACAAGGTGGATGGGAGAACATTTAGGCAGATTTGTAAGGGCTAAATGGGACAGAGGTAAATAATGATGTATGCTCAACGTTGGAAAAACAGGGCTCTGGGACACAGGGATTGAGGCATGGTTTCAATGGGTAAAAGAGGGGAAATAATGGTAAGATGCTTGGCTCTCTTTTGAATCTTGGTTTCCCTTGACTACTATTGTAAAATAGACACTTGAGGGGGAGATAAAGGAAACTACAAGTCTCA